AGACAGACAGACAGACAGAGAGACAGACAGACAGACAGACAGACAGACAGACAGACAGAGTTTCTAAATAACTTGTTTGCAATTTAGGGATAACCAAATGTAATGAATTATTACCTGATTATTGAAACCTGACAAAATCACCAAAAAACTCCCTTTGAGGATGTCCTCATTTGTATAAAACTGTGTGTTTTGCAATTTGTGAACATACAGCAGGATACAAGGGAGAGGAATTGATCAGAGATTGATAAGATATATCAGAAGAAGGGAGACCGATGGCATCAAATACAGCATTTTACATTATCTATATTAGGGCTGGACGATATGGCCAAAATTGATATCACGATATATTTCTTAATTTCGGTCGATACGATATAATTCCGATATCGATATGAACACTATTTATCTGAAATAGAAATCTTTTGTAACATTATAAATGCCTTTATCATCACTTTTGATAAATTTTAAGCATCCTTGCTAAATAAAAGTATAATTTCTATAATTTCTTTCCCGCAGTGCTCATGTTTATTCAACGAAGTCAAACGGCACAAATAAATCAATGTATGGGAAACACTGGTAATGTATATCGAAATATCGGAAATGTGTTTAAAAATCATATCACCGTTATTGAAAAAAAATATATCGCGATACATATTGATATTGAATTATTGTCCAGCCCTAATCTATATACAGTATCACATGTCATAATGTAGAGGCATTACCATGGTAGAGACTGCACATTACTATATAAAGTTCAGCTAAAGTATAGATTCAGTCATATGGCACAGTGTGGACATTTAGTGCACTGACAGTAAACTGTTCTAGCAGAAAACCTTATGGCCATGTCACACCTTTTGATACAGTAACACATAAATACTTCTACAAACATTATGGATTTTATGTGAGTTAAGCAAGTTAGGTAATGTAAGTGTATTTTCTAACATGACAGTTATTGCTTATATTACTGTAATTATTTCAGCAACAAAGGTGATTTGAAACATATATCTTGCATTGTTTGCTCTTAAATGAACTAATTGTTAAAAGTACTAAATTGAAAGAAGATCACAATGTTGCATTTCAGTGATTAAATCAAATGTTCTTGATATATATTACAATAATCTTAAGTTTTGAAACAATGATTGTGTCGATGAAAATATGTGTAATTGTAATGAAAGCGTGAGATCAGGTTTTGAAAGAATGACTAGTGGTGTTACAAGTGTGATCAGTTTGGATTTTTGAAATTATACACCTTGTGAAAATAGTGCAGCATAGCATAATAAATGATCAGCATAGCAATTTTAGTGGAAAAATGTAAACATTTAAAGGAATTTCTCTGTTTTGGCATTTGGTTTGTCCCCCTTTTGCTTTAATGACATCAGCACTTGAGTTTTCAATACAACCTAACGATCATGTTATCGAGCGTAATTTGATATCTTCAAAAGAGTCTTGTTATCTAGTGTAAGCAAGAATATCTGTCATCAATACCCCCCTTTTTTTTTTTGGCTGGTTTGATTAGTGACCAAGAATTAGTGCGGAATCTTAAATATTTCTTACATAACATTTCTTGGTTTAAGATCTTTCAAAATGATAAAACTTTGTTTATTTTATTTAAAATACATTTGATTAACATTACAGATTCCACAGTCTGTGGTCTCAAACTTTTGGACTCCATTGTAAATAAGGAAGCCTTTCTTGTATTGACCTGTGCCTGATCTTCCTGTCTGCATTGCACAGCAGCTTGGTGATAATCCTCTGAGCTGATCTAGAATCAGCACTCTGAAAACTACTTTGATTAAAAGGGCTCAGATGGTGAGTTTCATCAGCAGCTCTGATAGCTAAAACTCATTTGCCTCGAGAGAGGGCAAAACCTGAAATCGGAGATATATAATAGTATGATATGCTTATAAATATTAATATGCCTTAAAAGATTCATGAATAATGTATTTTCACAATCTAATTGCAGATATCTTGTAAACACTTTAATAATGGCTGATAGATTATTCTTAAATTAGACTAGAGTTGCAGTTTCTCAGTAACTGGGGGGCTTTGAGTATAAAACTAACATTACATCTCACACAAGCACATTTTGACATTTCATTTAGCCATAAACTCTTTCTCACTATATAATTGAAAGTAATTGGTTTAAATCGCAAAACAGAGAAACGTTAGTCTCAGAGGATACTTTCTTATGCAAAGCAACACAATGCATATCCATGTTGCTGATTAATTCTGCTCAGAAAGCAGTGTTCAACAATTTATCTTAATGTCCTGTTTTAGACTTACCATCACAACATTGCACCAAGTGTTCCTCCCCCTCAGGGAAGTTGTCGGACTGACATAGATTACTTGCTCCTTCGAGACTGGAGTCATTAGCTGTTATCCTGCATGTTGTGTACTCATCGCCCTTCTTTTGCTCTTCTAGCTGATTACACGGTCTTGCAATGACTTATATGGCATCTTGACACATGACACCGAAAGAGGTGCATTAGACAAAGTTTGATTCAGGTGTTCCAGTCAAGTGCTCTCACCAGGAAAACAGATGCTGAAGATGTTGATGTCTGACAGTGCACTTTAAGGCGGTGCTTTTAGTCCAGAGGGTGATTGAAGAGCAGAAAACCAGAAGACGTTGTCGACTGACACATATCCTCGTGAATCTGGATTTATCATTTGATTATAAGAGTGCATAAAAGGGTCAGAATGAATTAAATGTAAGAAATGAGGTGGATCGAACATAAATGAAGAGTGGGGAAGAGGGTTAATAGGCATTTTTAATGAGCAAATGTATTCACTTGTCCAAAGGCTGTTTTACAGCCTTATGTTTTACATATTTAATAGTGTTTGCTAAGACAATTATCACTGTTACTGTTGCTGATAGGGTTTGGGATTTAAACAAACCCCTAATCCCAACAATTTTGTGCTACGGGTGAGAATGATACCTCGTATCATGCAGCTTGTTGAAAGGAGTTGTGCTATTACATTTCTAAGCAATCAGACTTATGATTTTTGCCTGCCGGATGATAAAATGGTGAGAAAACCACATTGGCTTTCAATGTAAGAAGTACCATAACATAATTGAGACTTGGGGACATTAAGCATCCACTTACAACATCCTAGCATCCGCATAGCAACATGCTAAAACACTCAGAACACCTTAGCAACCACATAGCAATGCCCTGCATTGTGCATAGGGAAGCACAAATCTAGTTTGTGATACATTATTATATGACCAGATTTGTAATAAAATTGCCAAAACATATTGTACTCCAATTATGATATATTACCTCTATCTTATTTTTCTTTGTTTATTTGTGGTTGCAGATTGTTCACCGCACTCTGGCTGCAATGTTAGGATCCCTGGCTGCTCTGGCAGCGCTGGCTTTCATTGGAGATGTAAGTTTTTGTTTTAGAGAATGTTATTTATTCCATTCTGATGAAGATTGCTTACATTGTGTCAAGAGTTGGACTCTGGGACTTCATTAATTTTGAGAACTGCAGTGATGATTTTATTTTTATTAGCTAAAAGTAGCCTATAAGATCTCAGCATCATTATTTATATATCATAAATAATATATAGTGGCAAATTCAGATTCAAATTACAGAGCATAGCTTCAGTATGTTATACAAACCCTGGCAAAAATTATGGAATCACCACACTTAGATGTTCACACATTTTTTTTTTTACTTCATAACAAATAAATGAATCACAGATATGACACGAAACTATTTTTGTTTTATAATTCAACATTCTTGTTAAGTGAAACATACCTCAAACAAATGAGATTAAACTCAGTTAATGAATGGAAAATTGTTTTCCATATCAATGAGGGAAAAAAATATGGAATCAACCCCAAAAAAAACACAATTAGTACTTTGTTGATCGTCCTCTGGCTTTTATGATGGATTGAAATCTTTGGGGCATGGACTTCACTAATGAAAAACAATATTGTTAAAACAATAAAAACAATATTCTAAGCTGGTTCCAACTTTCTCGAATAGCACTTGACAGATCAGCTTTGCAAGATGGAGCCTTGTCATGGACCAGTTTTTTCAATTTCCACCATACATTTTCAATTGGATTGAGATCTGGACTGTGTGCTGGCCAATGTGGCCATGCCATTGAGTTGATATGCCTTTCCTGAAGAAAAGCTTTAACACTCTTTGCTCTGTGACGAGATGCATTATCATCCTAAAAATTACATCATTATCACCAAACTTCTTTTCTATCGATGTAATGAGAAAATTGCCCAAAATTTCAGTGTACACCTGTGCATTGACTGTTCAGGTAGGGTTGCCATTTCCCCTGGTCCTTTACCTGACATGCAACCCCATATCATAAATGAGTTGGGAAATTTCATTGTTTTCTTCAGGCAGTCATCTTTATACATTTCATTAGAACGGCACCAGACAAAAGTTCCAGCATCATCTCCTTGTCCAAGGCAGATTCATGATTCATCACTGAATATCACTTTCATCCAATCATCCACACTCCATGACTGCTTCTCTTTAGACCACTGTGACCTTGTTGTCTTCTGTTTAGGTGTTAATGCTGGTTTTCATTTGGCTTTTCCATATGTAAATCCCATTTTATTCAGACGGTTTCTTACAGTTCTGTCACACACATTGACTCAAATTGCTTTGAGTTTTCTATCCTGACGCTGTGATGTCTTCCCTGGTCTGCCTGTATGTTTTCCTTTTATAACCTTTCCATTTTGTTTATACTTGACTTGCACCAAATTTTAGAAACAGCTGACTGAGAATATCCAACTTCTTTTGCCACACTCCATGTTGGATTTCCATCTTGAAAGAGTTTTATAATCCTTTCCATCGTTTCAACTGACTGCTCTCTTGTTGGGGCCATGTTTCCTTTCTATTAGCCAAGTCCAACAGCTTGTTAAGGTCTGTAAGCACTCTCTTTTAACTGCTGAATAATTAGCATTTTAGATATGTGCCGGTATTTGTTTCAGAAATGCAAATTACAAGCTGATTCCATCATTTTTTCCTCAACATTGAATGATTCCATATTTTTTTCCTCTACTTGATATGGAAAATAATTTTCCATTGATTAAAATATTTTAATCTCATTTGTTTGAGGTATGTTTCACATAACCAGAGTGTTGAATTATTAAACAAAAATGGTTTTGTGTCATTTGTTTATTTGGTATAAAGTAAAACAATTCTTTTTGCCAGGGGTTGTATATTGTAATTGATGCAATTATTTCAACAATTCAGAAAACCCAGTTAAGACTGGGATGTGAAAATGCTCTTCTGTATCCGAGGAAGGAGACAATGACTATTTCATCCCATTGTCTTTACTGTAGAGGCCAAGTCTAATGACTGTTGTGGAATGGATTGACTATGAAACACTTGCCTTTCTGTTTGGAATGGTAAGTATAATTCTAACAGGTCTAGGAGCTCTCCAGCAGTGCACCGTTTGTACTATGAACATATGATATCTCAGATCGTGTGACTTGTTGAAAAGATGTGTGCTGTTACATTTAGATGAGATTGGATTTATAATTTTTTCCTGGTGGATAATAACATATAATAACAAAATCTAGCTTTGATAGAATTACCCAAGCCAAATCTAGCAATGTTTCAGCTTGTCTCATAGTGAATCTTTAATGTAAACTTGCCTTAACAAATGCCCCATAACCACATAACAATGAGCTTAAATCACTCAGAACACCCTAGCAATGCTCTAGCAACAACCACTATGTTTTCTTCAGAAAAAATCTAGTTATTTAATGGTTTCAGACAGCATTAGAACCTTGTCTCTGGTGTAATGAGATGATTTAACCTGCCTGTTTGGAGAAAGTTTCCCTGCTATGTGCTTGACAGTCTGACAAGCCTCTAATCCAACCCTTAACCCCAAATATTTAGCCCCTTAGGCTGGTCAGCCTGCCAGGCACTTAGTGTGACACGTTTCTTTAATGTGCTGTTAACCTAGTGCTTCTTTTAGAAAGAATTCTTCAGGGGGCTGAGATAATTTATGGTGTTACTTTGAGTTGCACTTACTTTGCAGCAGCACAATCAGTCTAAAGGTTTGTTAGTCTGCATATGACATTAGTCCATATTTTACATGGTACTGCAACAAAGTGTGACCAAAAAATATGAGTACAAATTAAAACACACAGCCTCTCTAATATTATTTCCAAAGTGCCACCCTTTTCAAGATCTCTGTTTGTTCAGTGTCTGTCTCCATGGAAACAAATACATTCAATCAGCCCCCATCCAGAAGACTACATGTAGGAGTATTTGAGGAAAAGCATAAAAGAAAATCAGAGACTGATGATAGAAAATGAATCACAGCATCCATCAATTTTAAAGACTGACTATAAAAGAGACTGAGAGCCATTTTACATTTAAAAAAGTTAGCTTTAATAAACTCAGAAATATTTGTTTCACTTTATTGATTGTCTATATTTCAAAGATGTCTGTTTCTGTATCTGAAAAAAAAAAAAAGAGAAGAGAAGAGAACGATATATGTGGCATGAAATTGAGTGAGAGACCGTGTGGTATTTGAGACATAATGTGATTTTATAGCAACACATGTGGCAGTAAGCACTAAAAATAGAAACCATGAAATGTTCAAGTCTCATAACCCTTCCTCTTTTTACTTTCAGATGATACTGGTGGCAATATTCTCTGAGACTGGTTTCTTTGATTACTGTGCAGTGAAGGTGAGTTTTCGCAATCATTATTTTGAAAATGCTTATTTGTGATTTGTTTATCTCTTTAAGCAAGATACAATGTCTTGACTGACAGAGTTATTTCCTCATATTCTCTCTAAAATTAGGCTACTTAATCTATCCCACCCACCTTAGATATTAGACACCTTACCTATTATACACATTTAAATACATTATATATCTACAGATACAAATACCTACTAATATTTACTCAGCAATCAGTAGGTAGCATGCTGTCTGTTATTGATTCAGTCTGATATGCATTCATTTCGCTTTATAGATGTCCCTATTTTTGATTTAGTCAATGTAATCCCATCATGTTACTTTACCCAGTAAGCTCTGGGGCAAAGAAGCAGAGCTTTACGATAGCTGTCCTGAAAATCCCTATCATTCACTCTCAAGCAAAGTGATGAGAATCCCACAAATGCTTTATATATGAAATTTCTGGGTGAATATCAAGCTCCAATAGAGTTGCGAAAAGGAATCAGATGGAACAAATCTTTTATAAAATGATGCAACCGTGTATAAATTGTGAATAAAATGGGTTTGAATTAATGAAAGTCTAAAAATAAATCATTGGATGGATATCCCTTTCCTTATTTTCAGGGATTCTGCGGACTGTTGTAAAAGACCTGTTGAAACATTATGGATGTGCTCTTGTGTATAAATTGTGAATAAAATGGGTTTGAATTAATGAAAGTCTAAAATAAATCATTGGATGGATATCCCTTTCCTTATTTTCAGGGATTCTGCGGACTGTTGTAAAAGACCTGTTGAAACATTATGGATGTGCTCTGGACATTATGAGGGCACACGCTTATGTCCTCTCATCCCATTTATGAATCTTAAGAGGGTTCTGGACGAGGACATGTTCCACAAATTAAAATATTGCCATAGAAACAACCCTCTTGATTGAACACCATTTCAAGACAGAATGAAGATGCATTTTGTCTTGAAATAAAAATCAGGCTTCTTCAATCCGTGTGTAGTTGTGAGCGGGTGAGTTAAGGCCCATTCACACCAAGAACGATAACTATAACGATAACGATATTAGTGTCCACACCAGCACACAATAATGTTCTGTTTATTATAAGCTTGCACAGCGCTTTAAATGCTCAAGCTTTTTAAAGCAGGATGGATTCTGATTGGCTGTCAATGTTTTTATCATTCATCAGCTGGAAAAAAAACATTCTGGAAGTAATTCCAACGCTATTGTTCCTTTGTGCCGTTTATAGTTGTGATATAGACTTTGATATTCTTTTAAATTTGGAATGATTTTGAAAACTATATCTTTATCATTAGCATTATTGTTATCATCCTTGGTGTGAACGGGCCCATACTCTGTTTATTTGTCAGTCACCATATTATTGAGTCAGGAAGTGGTGATATAATCGGTGGACTACAACACCCTGCTTTACCACTTGATTAGAATGATTCCAGACAGCCTGATAATGTCTCCATAGCGACAGGCTCTTAAAGTGCAGGTCTTTTGTTTTTTGAATCTTTTCTTTTCTGGCTTAAACATTCTTTTAGCGCTACAGCCTGAATGAACAAACACACTATGGATCTGTGTCAGTTTTTAGACCGAATTCCTCATTAAAATGTACTTTTGAACATTGTGTTCTGAGACCCCCTCAGAGGACTGCTCTTGATTCTCTATCTTTGAGGCACTGTTAAATCAATCTCTCCTTTCCACTGTTTTTTTTTTTTTTTTGAAAAACGTGATTTTGTTAATGTTCATAAACAAAGGCTAGAGATTTGTGTGCTTAATTTATTTTTGACCCAGTTAGTTTTCATTAATGTGAAGTTGTGAGAAAAAATTCTAACTTTGTAAACCAATAATGAATTTATTCCCAACAGTATTCTGTATGTCTCCACACAGGCGTATCAGTTATCGCGAGGAAGAGTGTGGCCCATGATTATCATTCTGTGCCTAATTGCAGCCGTTCTGTCGGCCTTTCTCGATAACGTAACAACTATGATGCTTTTCACCCCTGTTACAATCAGGTAATGGTATCTCTTCCTAAAACAGTGTATCTTTGCTTTCTTTCGGTCTCTTTTGACTTATTTTTTAAACTTGTATAATGATTCACTTCCAATGGAAGTATATGTGGCAAGCAATCGCACTGGAATAAACATTAAGTGTCCTGAGAGTGTAGCCATAATACTTATACAATCTACATGTTGAAGTTAGACTTGTGTGTCAGAATCCTCGTAAAACCTCCAGAATGGCTTTGCCTGTAGAGTTTTATTGTAAGTGCTTTGCTGTATACATGACTTTTATTTTTACAAACTGAGGGTTAAATCCAGATTGTTTTCTTTGGTATCTGACAGCATGCCACAGACACTGTCAATAGAGATTAACTTGCATTGAATCTGGAGCATTCCTTTAATAGGACTTTGAAGAGAAGAAGTTTGTTCAGCTGAACTACTGCTAAAAAAAATCCCAGAAGGCCTTGGCTTTTCTCTGGACAGGAATTTCTTTGTCAGTCTGCTTAGAGTTACACGAGGATGAAATAAGTCATGTCTCCATGCTATAAACTTACCACCTCATTGCTCTTTTCAGCTCCATTTGAGCTTATTTTCTTCCATCTTTTCTCTGTTACACGTTGTCTCTCAATGTTATTCATCAGTGCCTGTGCACATTTGTGTTCTCTGTCTTTTATATGTTTTATATCCTGATATACAGCATCATTTATTTAGCATTGTTTAGGACACCCTGTTCCTTCAGAGGACATGTGCTATGAAGCAATTTGGCATAATGTAATGTTTCATGTCCCATCCCTGTTGAAACCCAAAGACCAACAAACCAACTTTGAGTAAGGATACTTTTTTTCGTATTTTTGATTTTTCCTTCTACTGCAATATTCATCCATCAAATTCTTATCATCTTACATAGACCTTAAAAATCCCTAGTGTGGTAGGATAGAATAAATCTATATTTCACACATAGCCATTAAAATGTTAGGCGCAGCCTCAGCGTTTTCATGACATTGCTGGTGAGAAATTACTCTTTTTTTTTTTTGATTATACATCCCCAATTGCATCTTCAAACACCTTTAGGGCTTCAGAGTTTAGAGACGCAGTACACACACACACACACACACACACACACTCACTCGTTAAAGAACGAATGTGAGAAATTAGAGAATTCAGCTTTTTGTTAACAGGCAATTTGCTTGTGCAAGTTTTTTTTTTTTCATGCCAATTTTGCAGGGAAACTGATTTGCTTATCTTTAGATTTAGATCTTAGACTTGGAAATTTGTGCACCCCAGCGTAAACTTTTGCTGGTCCTAATCAGGTCCTCCTCTGGCTATATTTTACATTTACATTTACATTTAGTCATTTAGCAGACGCTTTTATCCAAAGTGACTTACAAATGAGGACAATGGAAGCAATCAAAATCAACAAAAGAGCAATGATATACAAGTGCTATATCAAGTCTCAGTTAGCTTAGCAAGGTTTTTTAAAAATATTTTAATAAATACAAAAAAAAAAACAGACTCTTATGAAATCTTATTTTGTGGTACAGTTACAAATATGACAGAAGTAAAAGACATGAGTCTGTGTAAAACTTGCAGCTACAATGCTAAGATACTGTGGTGGTTGTCATGTTGTTGCTATGTGATTGCTAAGGTGTTCTGTGTATGTTTTTTGCATGTTTTATGTTCCACCAGGCAAAAATCGTGAAAGTATGATGGATTAGAAAAGCAATAGCACACCTTTTCTCAAAAATGACTAGCAAGCATTTATCTGTCTTGAAGACCACTTGGAGACTACTCTATGTAACATGGTTGCATTGCATTGATGTTCCAGGAACATCAGTCCTAATCAGGTTTTGTGATGTCTTTTGTACTCAAGGTTATGTGAAGTGCTTAATTTGGACCCCAGGCATGTCCTGATTGCTGAGGTAATCTTCACCAACATCGGAGGAGCTGCCACTGCTGTTGGAGATCCTCCCAATGTTATCATCGTATCCAACCAGGATCTGCGTAAAAAAGTATGTAATTATTTTCCACCGTTTGTTGCTGGGTCATTTATGGGTGAACGGATATTGTACTGCTGTCTTGTGCCTGTTAAGAGTGTCTCGGGGAACTTGTTGGACAAATTATACATGACTGCACAAATAAACAAAAACGCACAGACACAAGCATGTGACCAAGCATTTTTCTGGCATAGAATGATAGCCTTGTGCCAAAACACGCTGTCACTATTTACTCAAGGCTAAAACACTGTGGCATCCTGTCTTACACCTCAGACTATTAATTATGTAGGAATACTTCTTGCCAGCTTTAGTCACACTCTGCCAAATTCTCTCTCTCTGTCTCTCTCTCTTTCTTTCAGTAGAGTTGACATCAGGGTTTGAAATTAACACCCGCCAACCCGCCAAATGCGGGTAAAAATCAGCTGTGGCGGGTAACGCTGTCAAATCACTAGCCAATTTGGTTGACATTTTTTAACTTCAGTAAAAGCTAAAGCTGTAACAGTCATTATGTACAAACTCCGAGACCAACCATTTTTATCTAAGAGCATGCATGATGTTTGGTTGCAAGACTTGTTACTCACAGTATCTCACCTGTTTTCACACTGTATGCAAAAACAGTCTTAGGCATTTAGGCATTTTTACATATCATATTAACACATTAATTACCATTTGAGTGTAAATATCCAATTCTTTTTAGAGTAAATGATAAATATATGAAAAAAAAACATTCAATAGTAACCAGAAATTGCTTTTTAATGCTGTTGCTTCACAATAAAAATATTATTGCATTATCTATAGAAATTCAGGAAAAAATATAATGCTATATTAGTCAAATTCATCTTTACCTTTGTTTATTTTGGTTTTTCTTTTTTTTGGCAAATGAATCATGCTCAAAATACAAGAGTTTACTGTACAAAAGTGACCAAAAATCTGCATTTCTTGCAGACTGGGGTGTCTTTTTTCCGGAATCCAAAAAACTCCCACACTGGCGAGCTAACTTTTTTCGGGTGCGGGTAGATTGTCTCATTTTTGTCAGTCTTCTCTGACATGATTTTGTGTGGCAGTAGTAGCTACACACTGTGTTCTTGTCTTTTTCCCCCATTTTATGACAGGTGGCAACTAGTGTTAAGGTGCAATACCGCCACCTACTCAACAATTTACTGGCACTGGATTATTTACAACATTATCTTATGTATGCTATTAACATGATATCAATATTTCATTTTTAAATGGTTATCGTCAATACCAGTATACTGCAACACCCCAACTTGAGCATGCGTTGTGAAACAGGTCTTATTGTATGTTACTTGATGCTGTTGAAGGTACAACGAAGCAATACCTGATGAATGCAAGTGATCACAAAACATTAGGTCTGCAACATCGGCATGTACTTTCCTAACTTAATCACAGAACAGTATCACAAGAACTTTCTTTTTTCGTTCTAGTATATGAGTATATGAACTCTTTCCGTCAAACCCTCACTTGCAGGAAAACACAATTTAAAGTTCCGTCCTGCCAATTGGACAAGGTCACGGGCAGGCTGAATAATCTCCAGGTTTATGATGTGACCTCAAATCAGAGAGTCTTGTGTGGTTCTGTCTTCATTGAGACTTGTGTAATATTGGTTTGATTGAAAAGGTGAGGGGACATTTTGTGATTTATTATTCACTTTAATGGAGGATACGGAACAGGGTGAACCAGGTTTGTGGTTGTGATTGAAATGTTCATGTTCACATTCAGACAGAGATCAATGCATGGCCTCGTTGGTGGTGTGGTTGAAATCACAGAATATGCCAGTTTATTCTGTCTGTTTTTTTTTTTTTACTGTATTTGAGTATTTGCCAGTTTGTCTTTTTGTAGTCAGGTATGTTATTTTATTGCTCTTATTTAGGATTATGGGTTTGAATGCAGTTTGAACGGCTAACCCTTTGAGTGCATTTCATAACACAACTCAAGTATGCGCTGCGTTCTCGGCATTGCCACAAGCTGGCATTAGCATGTCTGCTTCTGCAGCTAGTTTTCTCTTTTAGATCAGAGGAGGGACAGTTTGAAGCGAATGATGCTGAGCAAGTGAGATCTCATAAGTATGTTTACCTGAATAATAACAGCACTGCACATACCATTCTGTGTGTGACATCAAAGTACAGCGAGAGCGATTAGCATTTTTAAAATATTTGTTTTGATGTCAAATAAGTCTTGCTGTTTTGCTTTTTTGTTAAAGCAGTGTTGCTGTTGTAAAGGTATACAGCTACAGTTGTGTTGCTGGGTTTTAAAGCAGGTTTGATTTTTCTTTCTTTCTTATCACTCTGTATTTACAGGATTTCACTGTCCAATCTGTTCAAATGTGGATGAATGGCTACACATAGATGTGTGCACACACTGTCAGAACTGTGTGAGATCACTTTCTGTACTTTTATTTAAGTAAAAATCTGTCTTTACAACTTTTACTTGTAATGGAGTAATATTTGACAAGCAGTATCTGTACTTTCACTCAAGTAATGGAGTTGAGTACTTTGTCCGCCTCTGCCCACAAGGCATGCTGTTTCCGAGATCAAAGTTTTGAGGTGCCATGCCATCACAATTTGTCCTTTATCAAACTCTGATAAATCGGCAACTTTTCCCATTCTGACACAGAACACTATACTGCTCTGTGAATATATATATATATATATA